TTTTCAAGCATTTGCAAAATTTTCTTGATGGTACAAAACTGCCCTCAGGAGAGGCTCGTGAAAATGAGCTGGTCAAGCTTTTTACCAATAGGGACGAGGACTTCTTCAATCGTGGAATTATGAAATTTCCCTCAAAATGGACAAAAGTTATCAAACAAAACGGCGCATATTTGATCGAAATCGGATAATCCTAACTATGTTAATTTCATCGTCGAAATAAAGCGAAAAAACGCTCAGAACTTTTTACTTCACCTAATATAAGCCTTAGGCAAATAAAAATGCAATGTCAGTGCCAAACTTCTCAACTTTGAGGAATACTTCCATTTACTTTTCAATGCTCTCTGAAGAATTTCCTTTGCATTGTCAGGCAACATATTAGAAATATAGAAATCATACAATGCCTTTATGAATATATGAACATAACATATATAGATATATAAATGGTAGAACAGCGAAATGAAGGAAATACAAAATATTGGAAGATTGTTCATAACTCCGACTTTTGTACTGCAATATGATACAATATTATTAAATTGTTTATTTTTTTATGTTGCAATTGTTAATGTAGGCATAAGAGGATCTGAAACAGTTGATGTCGTTTCAAACATTATTTCAACGTCAGTACAGTTTTTTTATTAACTCTTAAAAATAATACGTATTAAGTAATGTTTTTCCTTATGTAATGTATTGTTAGGCCCGTGACTTGATGCCCGCGTTTATAGCGCTGAACGTACAGCTGATTCTCTTGGCAACGAGTCGTAAACAACAGATAATCAGTGTTGACGAATAAACAACGGGTTTGAGAGATTCTCTCTGGGACGATCGAGTTGTCGTGACGTACGCAACGGTCTTTAGCGAGAGAGAGAAAGTGGGCTTGAGTCTACGTGCTTTCTTGTAAATAGCAAATATATAGTTGAGGTTGTTTCCTATTTAACGTTGTCTTGTTTTATTTCCCCGCGCGAGCGTAACAGTATGTTAAGGGTTACTTGTCAGTACAAAAGTTAATTTTACAATATGCACTATGTATTTTCAAAACTTCTGTATGCAATTAAAAACTTTCTTTCGTTTTTCCAGTCGACTGAGGATACTGAGAAATATCAAAGAAAGCAATGTTAAGCAATACAATTATTGTTGATGAAATTGTATTTGGAAAAAATAATATTCCTTTTCTACTTTTTTGAATTTCATTAATGTTCATTTGGTATAATGTTGGAATAAAAAAAATTACTTATACAGAATATATAACGGAGTAAATTATGTAAGGAACAATGATATGGAATCAACTATGAACCTTCGTAAAATTTATAATTCCAAGATTATGTCTTTTGAGAATGTGTTAATAACAGTTAATAGCATAAAAAAATAATAACCTTATAAATGTTAATAACATAATTTCCAGTTATAATTTTTAGTTATTATTTCTTTTTACAATAAAGGAACATGTTTATATGATTGATATGATTACAACTTGTCATATCCGGGGTGTCCGAAAACCTGACGAATATTTTTGGAGCTAAGAATGGTCAGGCGGTTAAATGCGGAGATAACGAGACGGTTTGAAAATAAACAGATATATTGAGAAAATCATAATGTATTATTTCTTATATTGGTGGAAACCTTGTCCCTAACCTGCGCTGCGTACGGTTACGATGGCGCGGGGTAGCGGTAACACGAAATATGCGACAGCGCGAGATGTGATAACGGAGAATGCGGACGAATCACTATTCAAAATCATCGTTGATATAGTCTTATATAGTTACCAATTACTTTCGTTAGGGGGAATGTCTTTAGCAATAATCGGATGGATACGTATTGTGCTAACCCGTGTAGCGGAATGTGCAACGCGGTGCTTTTTTTGCAATGCGATGCTTCCTTGTAACACGGTGCTTTACTTTCATAGTGCTGTCGAAGTGTTCTCAGTGGCGTTTCAACAACTAAGGTGAATGAAGTAATGCCCGGTTATAACAAACTTGGTCAACATTAAATGTAATGTTTAACATTGTTTGTACAATTTTTTTTCTTTATCCTCATTTGGCTACGTTGCGACAAAAAAAAACTCTTTAAAAGCTATTTCATTTAAGTTAGCACACTTAATGATATTTAAATTAACGCATATAATTGATGAATCGTCAATGACTTATTCCAATGTAATTAAAGGTGCCGAACTCTCATTCACTATGTCAAATATTTTAGTAGTACACTTTCTATAGCACTTTTAAACATTAATCCTGATTGTTATAAGAGTTTTACCATACCTTACCGAAAAGTGATACGCTTCAGCAAGTCCCGCTTTTGGCGATGGAATGCATTAATTTTGTGCCGTCTCTTGACGTCGTTTCGCTTCGCTTTCGTTTCGCTTTATAAGTGCAATTGCCCGTATAGCTAATCTGGGAGTTGCAACGTTAGAAACACAAATTTCTGAAACAAAGCGTGGTTCTGCAACTTTGCGTTTTTAGGAGTAATTCATACTTCAATCTATTCTTCCAAACTTGAAATAAAAGGAGCATATTATTCATTATGTAGACATTAATTTTATCATTTTAATTTCCACAACTCGCAACAAAGAAAAACAAACATTGATGTTTGTGTACAATTTCTCAAATTCCAAATTTTAATTTACGGTAATCAAGATTTTATTAATATTATATCTGTAACAAATACCTCCAGTATTATCATCAGGTGCTTTATTGATGTTCCCCTTTTTTCCTGAAATATTCTCATTATTTGATGTATTCTCATTATTTGTGCGTTCTGCGGTTTCCTTTAACAATGTACATAGTTCATGATACTTCATTTTACAACTACAATTGTAGCAGACTCATTGTTCATATCATTAGTGATCATCTCTCCCTCAAATGATACATTTTACAAATCCCCGATGAATATGTTCTGACATTGAACTGCTTTATCGCTGATGTGCAACATTTTTTAAGCAATGTTTATTAAAATATTGAAGGAACTATTCCTGGTAGTAGCCAATTTCCAAAGTAATTTCCTAGTTTTATTCTCTTTTTGTAGTCTTCCTCCTTGAAATATCTTGAACGAATGTACATCTTCGAGACGTCATCAGCTTTGGATAAGTTACAGGCATTCAACCATTTCGAACGAAGCTGTCGTTCTTTTGTAAATCTAAAAATAACGACCACATTTTATTCTTATACTTATTTAAATAATGACCACATTTTATTCTTTACACTTAGAAGAGTGAAATTCCTCTCCAAGAAATTCAGAAAGCAGCAAGTCACAAGTCACAGTAAATACTAATCGTTCGTATAATTAGTTCTTTACCAGTGTATACTGATATTTTCGTATTACCTATTCGTATTAGCTAGCCGTATTAGCTATTTTTTTAATAAATAACATTTCCGAGTACTTATGGTTAGTAGTAGTAGTAGTAGTAGTAGTACTAGTAATAGTTGCAGAAATATATTGGTGAATGGATCTATAAGCAGATCTTAAGGTTATTTACCAGGTGTACCGGTATGAAGTGAGCGTCAAAATACAAATGTCTCGATAGGGAACATTTATTTTGAACGGGCCTTAATTTTGTTTTGTTTGGTTTCTATGACATCTATCAAACATATTCAGTTTACATCAAGTTATTGAACAAACAACATCATATTTTTTCATCGTGTTAAAAATGTCGAATTTTGTACCAGAAAATGATGATTTGCGGAAAGCATTAATTTTTTGTTTTCATTTGAAGAAAAGTGCTGCAGAGTCGCATCAAATGCTTGTCGAGGCATATGGTGATCATGCTCTATCAGAAGCAACATGCAAAAGATGGTTTCAACGGTTCAGAGATAATGATTTTGATGTGAGAAATAAAGAACGTGGAAAACCACCAAAAAAGTTTGAAGACACCGAATTGCAAACAATATTGGATGAAGATGACACTTTGAGTCAGACACAAATGGCAGAAATGTTAAATGTTGCACAACAAACAATTTCTGACCGTTTAAAAGCTATGGGAAAGATCCAAAAGTCTGGAAAATGGGTGCCACATGAATTGAATGAAAGACAGATGGAAAACCGAAGAAACACTTGTGAAATTTTGCTTCAAAGACACGATAGAAAATCAGTTTTGCATCGAATTGTTACTGGCGATGAAAAATGGATTTATTTTAAGAATCCTAAACGGAAAAGATCATGGGTTAATCCGGGACAACCATCAACTTCGACTGCAAAACCAGATCGATTCGGCAAGAAGACAATGCTGTGTGTCTGGTGGGACCAGAAAGGTGTGGTGTACCACGAGCTCCTAAAACCTGGTGAAACCGTCAATACAGATCGCTACCGACAACAAATGAGCAATTTGAACTATGCATTGATCGAAAAACGACCAGAATGGGCCAGAAGACACGGCAAGGTAATTTTGCTCCATGACAATGCACCTGCACACAAAGCAAAACTGGTTCAGGATACGATCAAAGCACTCGGCTGGGAGCTGCTACCCCACCCGCCGTATTCACCAGACTTGGCTCCTTCCGACTACCATTTGTTTTCATCGATGGGACACGCATTGGCTGAGCAGCACTTCGATTCCTACGAGGAAGTCCAAAATTGGGTGACTAATTGGTTTGCTTCAAAAGACGAACAGTTTTATTGGCGTGGAATCCACAAATTGCCTGAAAGATGGGAAAAATGTGTAACTAGCAATGGCCAATACTTTGAATAAAATGTTTTTTATTTTCCCATTAAAAAATAGTGTTTTGTTTTCACAAAAAACGCTCACTTCATACCGGTACACCTAGTATTAGGTTGGTGCGTATGAAATGTTGGATTTTTAATTGAATATATAAAACTGCATGTCTTTTTTCAAAAGTTGTTTATTTAATAAAAATTTGGTATATTTGCTTGAATACACTTTTCCCAACGAGATTTTAATGTTTAAATGCCTGTCTTAAAGAAATTCTGTTCTTTGGAATCAATAAACTCTGATATGGAATTTTTCTGTCTTCATTTTCTTAGTGTTTAGCTCGTATAAACAGTTCTAAATGTTTAAGAAAATGAAAATCGGTTGGCGAAAGATCTGGTAAATAAGCTGGGTGTTGCAAAAATTCATATTTTAACTCAATTAATCTTGCAATCGTTTTGTACGACGTATGCGACCAAGCGTTGTCGTGGAGAAGTATTGGGCGATACACACTTATTCATTTTTTTCACTTTGCCAATTTCAGGAATGTGTCGCAATATTCTTGTATGGTCGACATTTATTCTGATAGCAAGTTGCCTTATACGAGGGCAGACCGATAAGTACTTAGCCTACAAAAGAAAAACAAAAATTTTGGAAAAGTGGCGATTTATTTCTCTACAAAGTCTCCTTTTAGCTCGACACACTTGACCCAGCGATGCTCAAACTTCTTTAACCCATCTGAAAAATACGTTTCCTCGAAGTCTGCAAAGTAGGCCTCCGTGGCGGCGATGACCTCCTCAATCGGCCAAATTGGTCGAATTAGACTACGAACTGCTGCCCTATCCACCGTATTCTCCAGATTTGGCCCCGTGCGACTTTTTTTGTTTCCAAACTTGAAAAGTCACTAGCCGGGCAGAAATTTGAGTCGAATGAGGAGGTCATCGCCGCCACTGAGGCCTTTGCAGACTTCGAGAAAACGTATTTTTCAGATGGATTAAAAAAGTTGGAGCATCGCTGGGTCAAGTGTATCGATCTAAAAAAAGACTATGTTGAGAAATAAATCGCCACTTTTCAAAATTTTCGTTTTTCTTTTGTAGGCTAAGTACTTCTCGGTCCTCCCTTGTAGATACAGTTGGATTTGTTTCCACCAATGCCTTCAGAACATCATTATTCACAGACGTTTTGGATCTTCCTCGCGGTTCATTTTGTAGGGAAAAATTATCAGACCAAAATTTTTGGAACCAATGCTTCATTTTTCGTTCGTTAACAGTATTTTCCCCAAACGCCTGGTTTATATTGCGTGTAGCTTTTGCAGCATTATTGCCAAGTTTATATTGATTTTAAAAAATTACACGAATATCGGTTGAATTCATATCCGTACAAAATTCAAAACAGATAACAAAAGGGCACACTTTTGAAAAAATCTTCTTTGTTAAAATATGACTGTGGCAATGCACAGTACTACTGTAAAAGAGGTTATGCAAAAAAAAAGCATAAGCATAAACGAAAGCAGGGAGACCAACGTTCACATGTAAAGAAAATCCAATATTTCATATGCACCAACCTAAAAGAATTTCCATTGCATTATAACACACCGTTCTTTATTTTAAGGCCGCACCATAACCTTTGATCGGAGATTAGATAAGTGAGATTCTTTAATTCTACTTGTTAGATGTTCTTGAGCTCTATAAACGCCCTCCCCCACACTTTATATCTTTTAGAGGAGCGCTAGAGCGGGGCAGTTTTATAATATATGAATATTATGTTCTTCGCCGTTTCCACAGAGACGACGAATATCATCCTCTGCAACTTTCATGTTGAGTAGATTGGCTCTTAGGGCCACATAACCAGTCAGCAGTCCAATTGTGGTTCACAGCCTTTTCCTGCTCATCGCTGTTAGCTTTTCTGCTCTTTTCACAGAAGGCTTTCCCATAATCAGCCTCGATAGACGGTAATCCCCTGCTTTTTCTCATTTTGAGTAGTGTTTTAGCTACAATCTGTAATTGATGATGGTCTTACTTATGATAAAGCGTAGACCAACTGCCCGCTCAATAAGGTCACATTCAGAGCACCACTTTATAAGGCAATCTGCCATCTCGTTGCCGTGTATACTTTCATGTCCAGACACCCACATGAGGGTGACTTTGCTAAGCTTCTCGAGCGCAGTCATACAGTTTCATACCAAGGACGATTCCGTGGTGGTCTTAATTAGCGCTGATTTCGCTGCTTTGCTATCAATGCAAATTGCGATTTTTTTATTTTCAATCTCTCATGAGATGAGAATTTTGGCATTTCTTAGAATAGCTATGATTTTGATTTGGAACACCGTGGCCAGCCCGCCCAGAGAGATATTTTTCCTGTATTTCTCACCTGGCCCGTATATTTTAGCCCCGAATCGATTGGTCAACCCCGGGCCATCTGTGAATCAGTAGTTTATGTTTCGGTTTTTTATTTTATTTAGTGTCAACCAGCCTTTCCTTGTTGGTGTGCAAGAATTTGAATCCTTCGAGATTTGCATTCTCCTGTGGGTCCTGTCTTGTTTTGTTGTGAATAGATGAGAATTTAATCACTTGAGCCTAGAATGTCCCAATCTGATATTCTTCTATTCACCTTAGCATTTCAGTCTGTATGCTGTATTGGTTGCTACTCCGCAGATGGCCAGATCCAATAGATACATACAAAGTGCTATCTCTAGCGTCTCTGTTGGTGTGGTTCTTGTAGCCCCCACCGTAGCCCTCAGGAAACCATCTTGTAGGCTTTTCAGTAGATTCCTAATCTACATCCACTTCACTCTTGGCCACCATATTACAGAAGCATAAGTTAGTCTCGGTAATAATACCGCGTTGTATAGCCATTAGACCACTTTCGGTTTTAAGCCCCAGGTTTTTCATGGCTTTTCTACACGCTTACATGAATGTATAGAATTTTAAGTAGGTGCTGTTTCCAGTTTAGTTATGGGTCAATCAGAACTCCAAGATACTTTACACAATTTGTGAATAATAATTCCTTTCTTTTCTTCATAACTTAATAGGCTTTATGGTTTCTGGTTTATATTTCCTAGTGAAAATCATAATATTTATCTTAGACGGGTTGTTGGCCAAGTACTCCATTGTGCAACAGTTTTCAATAATTCTCACAGCTGTCACCATTCATTCTCTGAGATTTTCCAAGCAGTTTCCCCTGATCACCACAGCCACGTCGTCCGCGTAGCCATAGATTTGGAAACCTTCCTCTTCTAGACTGATCAGAAACTTATCGACTACGTGGCTTTACAGAGTGGGGGACAACACCCCACCCTGCGGACAGCCACGGGTTGGTCTGCCCTGCAGCATCTTTTCCTCAAATTGAACCATCAGGTTCTTGGTGGTCAGCATATTTTCTATCCATTCGATCAGTACCTCTGGTGCACCGTGATTTATTATGGCTTTCTTAACGCATTATTTGAGGTGCAATCAAGCCTCCCTCATTGTCTACAAAACATCTCAGGGCATATCCCCTGGCGTTCAACTGGGTCTCCACTGCGCTCACTAGGTGATGTAGAGCAGTCTCTGTGGACCTGCCCTCCCTATAGACGTAACTATAGGGAGTTTACCAGTGGTTTTACCATTAGCGAAGTTGATTTCAGATATCTATCTAATACTCTCTTCAACGTTTTCAAAATGAAAAAGGTGAGACTGATAGATATAAAATTTTTTGTAAGGACGTGACCGTTTCGACCTGGTTTTGGTATGATGATCATTTTCGTGTCCACCCAGGCTTTGGGGGAATGTTTTAGGGCTATACTCGTCCTAAAGATCTTTATTAAGACGCTCAAGATTCTTGGAAGCCTTTTTGAAGTGGCACTGAGTAGATACCATCCTGTCAGGCGCTTTGTAGGGTTTGAAAGCCTTGACAGATCATTTCATCTTTTCGACTGTACAATTTTCGCAGCTAGGTCCCAATTTTTTGGCCCCTTTCTAACCGCGCGAATATGAACTGACGAGATCCTTTAACCGTTTGAGTCCGGGGAAGCGCTATCGCGCTTCACTTGTTGTATGCCAAAAAGACGGCGCAGCGCGATAGCGCTTCTCTTGTTTTGTATCGAGAATGCGAAGACGCTGCTGTTGGTAGTATACTTTACGCCATTATTAAGAGCAGTTGTAGTAATATCAGTAGCAGTTTTTATTCATTTAACTCAGTTGTAACTTTTAGCAATATAAGAATTAAAATAATATACAGTAGTAATGCAGTAAAGCTTGTGAATTGTGGTACAGTAGAGAAAATGGGCCAATGTAAAAGGATATATAATGTTTTGACTGTAATTTTTTTGAAATCATCACCAGATCTATAAGGGCAAGAGATAATTCTTACAAAAAAATTATTTATGTACCAAAAAGAGTTATATGAAAATATTTGGCTCATTTTTTCTACCGTACCACAATCCACGGCTCTGGTACATTATTGCTTACCACTGTGTGTTATTTATTTATTTATTAGTAGGAAAAATCCTTTCGTTGTTTTATAGGAATTAGAAATTGTTTTCATTTTTTTACCAAGTGTTATACTGATAATTACGAAATAACCATGTCAAGTTCTGATTCATCTGAAAGTGACTATGTTATGAGAAGTGATAATGAAGAGTATAGTAATGACCTTGAAAGTGATAGTGGAAGTGACATCATCATTCGTTCTAAGAGATTACGAGTTATTAGTGATAGCAGTGATGATGATGAAGTAACTGCAAGTACCTCCGATGACGATATTACTGATGAGTTTTTACCCGTGGACACAATTTTTTCGAACGAATCGAATACTTTTTCTGAAGTACCTGGTCCAAAGCATGCCCCTCCTCCTGATGCGAAACCAATTGAATATTTCAATAAATTTTTTTCAATTTCGCTCTTCACTACAATGGCGACAGAAACGAATCGCTATGCCGAGCAGTTTTTGAATTCCAGAAGAAGATTAGGACGACATTCACACATGAAATCATGGGTGCCAGTAACTACTACAGAAATGAAAGCATTTGTTGCGGTTCTGTTTGAAATGGGCATTACAAAACGACCATCAATAAAGTCCTATTGGAGTAAAGGTTCGAGAAACATCCCGTGGTTTGGCAAAATGTTTACTAGGGATAGGTTTCAGTTGATCTTGAAGTTTTTCCACCTGGTCGACAATAACAGTTTAGCGCCATCAGGACATCCAAATTACAATCCGTGTGGTAAATTCAACTTCATAGTGGACTACGCGAATAAAATCTTCCGAGAACAATATACGCCACACTGTCAGATGAGTATAGACGAATCTTTAGTTGGTACCCATTGTCACTCTATTATAAAGCAGTATCTTCCCAACAAAAAACATCACAAATGGGGAATCAAGTTTTGGATGATGTGTGATTCTATTTCAAATTATTGTTTGGGATTTTTTTGTTATCAAGGTGCAAAGTCAAACGATGATAAAGATGAAATAAAAAAGAATGGCCTCGGCTATGTAGTGGTTGAGAAATTGTTAACACTAGGAGATTACATGAATAAAGGATACCATATATATATAAATAATTTTTTCACAAGCATTCACCTTGCCGAAGCTCTGTCACAGAAAAACACATATCTAACTGGCACCATCCGGAGAAATAGAATGCAAATTCCAAATGAAGCAAAATTTGCACAAACTGGTCATCCGAAGTATTTCAAAAGCGACAAAGTACTTATGTGCTCTTACCGAGACAAAAAATCTAAAAAAAATCCCGTCATATTGATCTCCACCAATTGCAGAACAGGAAATATAACAGTTACAAAAAAGAAAGGAAATATTCAGTATGTAAAGGAAAAACCAATTATTATTTACAATTATAACAAATTTATGAACGGAGTTGATGAATCCGACAAAATGTTATATGTATATCTCGATGAAAGGCGAACTCTTAAATATTGGAAGAAAGTTGTTTTTAACATTTTTGCCAGAATGGTGCTAAATGCTTATATAATTTATTCTGAAAATTGTCGTGGTAAAAAATTAAATAGACTGCAATTTACTTCGAACATTATTGACACTATAGCGGAGGAATGGTTAGCAAGCAAAAATGCCACAGGAACATCACCAATAAGTAACAAGTTTTCTTTAGAAAAATTGCCTGGGCGAAATTTGCGGCAGTGTAATGTATGCAGTAATAAAAATGATAATGGAATTAAATGATCTAATTTAATTTGCGCTATATGCAAAAAAGGAATTCATGGAATTTGTGCAGCAAAACATTTTTGTTATAAGTGAAAATAAATTTTTTTTTTATCAAAAATACTTGTTACGTAACAATTAGTGGTAATTATAACCATTTTCATTGTTTCCCAAAAAAACATACTACGCATTTCATCCCGGACTTTTAGCATATGCATAAGAAAATTCTCCCGTACTCAAACGGTTAAAATGCCGGAGAGTGGTTTTGCATAAGATGAGCCTGAAATTCTTCCTATGTTCTTGTTTATGTATCAATTTATAACTTTAAACAGCCCCAGTAAGTATTTTCTTCTGTGCTGAGTATCTTGTGCAGTCCCGAGGTTTTTGACAAGCTCTCGATGTCTTCACAGTAACTCTTCCAGCTATTGTTTTTTGCTTTCACAATCTCTTTTTTGTAAAATCGGAAAGTTTCTTTGAAATTCTCCCATATATGTCTGGTTTTGAGCTTTCTCGCTTTATTGAAGCTTCTTCTAGCCACAGCCCTGAGCTTGTCTAGCTCTCTGTTCCATCATGGGCTCTGGGCTGTTGGGTTTCTCTACCTAAGTCGGCAATTTAGTTCAAAAGAGTTTTTTTATGGCGTCGCTAACTTTCGCTGCCGCCAGTTCCAGTTCTTTCAAGTTATGAAATCTCTTAGGGCCTCAAGGATCCGATGATTAAGGTCAGTCCTATATCCCTCCCAATGAGTCGCTCTCGGGTTTCTAGTCCTTTATTCTTACTAATTGTCGTAAAGCGTAAAGTATCTGTTTGTGATTCGACCCGGAAAGTTCTTCTAATACCCTTCAGTCCCCCACCATCCAGAAGTCCGCTCGAACAAATGGTAATGTTTATAACCTCCTATCTACGAGAATCCATGAAGGTTAGATAAGTTTGTTGCCTCTATTGAGAATGTGCAGCCCGCTGCTTACAACGTAGCTGAACAGGCTTTTCCCTCTCGAGTTGTTATCTGTACTACCTCACACCAAAAGGTGGGAGTTTGCATCATAACCTAAGAGCAATTCGAGTCTACCCGCTTTCGCAGACGCGACCAGTCGTTTGATTTTATTGGAGGGAGGAGTGTCGCCCGCATTGATGGGCATATATATTGACCCTACGACTAGATTCAGGAATCCTCCATCCTTTTTTCTGACTTTTATTTGTACAGAAGTTACATCACCTTTGCTGTAATTTGTTAGGAAGGTGGCCCCTACGTTGCTTGTAATAATACAGGTTTTAACTTTGCCCCTGTTGTTTACACAAAGGATTTTCCCGCAGCTATTTAGGCACCAAATTTTGTGCCTAATTAGCCATGGCTTTTGCACCAGTGCTATATGTGCTATTTGTGCTGGTTTTGTCCCTATCACTGCCATGCTCCTGGCTGGAATGGCCGAGGCATCTATGCTGTAATGCAAATCAATTTTTAAAAAAGCGAATCTCGTAGCCCGCCATTTTTAAGCAAGTTCCGGCTGATCCCCATTTTTGGTATCCTTCCCGCGGTCATCCCCAATCAACCTTACGATTGCTTGGTTTAGCCCACAGAAAGTTTTGAAGTTGAGGTCTTTTAAAGCCTTCAGTGTCTCACTTTCTCTTACAAGGGCAGCGAAGTGAGGGCTCATGGCATTTCTGTTTTCGCTCCCCTTTGCGACTAACCAGTCGTTCCTTAGATTTTGCCTGTCAAGGAGTTCTAAGATACCTTTGACAGGCATTCTCGGATTCTCAACGTTCACTACGACTCGGTGTCGCCCGTTTGGCAGCTTATCGACTCGCAGCGCACGCAACTAAGTTCTGTTCTTCAGCGTAAATTTCAACGTCAGGCTTTTCAGCCAGGCGGCAGACTGTTCATCGGTGTAGTTAAAAATAATTGCATCGTCCCTAATCGACGTATCTTTGAAGGCGTCGGGCGAACCCGGAACATATGAGCGACTTCCGGTCACCAATTATTTTGAACTGAATGGACGCCAGATGCGGACTTGCCGCACCCTCGAAAATAGAAAAAAAACAAAATAACCGACGAAGCGCTTCGAATCCGATATGTTCTTTCTCGCGACCTAGGTTTGTCCCGAACGGGACCGGTAGCTCCTGGGTAGGTTAAGTCGGAGGCGGGGTGGTTCGTCAGGTCAGGTCGGAATAGAGAAACAAGAGCACAAGGCCAGTGGTTTCGCTATTGCAGTGGTTGCCTTTATTACGGTTTAGCAGTAACGATAACAAAATGCATTAAAACGATAGCGTCTCGCATGTAAAATTTTTAATCTCTAGAGACCCGGACCGTGGCGTGATCGCGATGTCCACCGGTAGGGTGGCTGGTTTTTCGAGCGGCAGCCGAGCCAAGGTGGAGAGAACGGTACGGTACGACACACCCGCGGGAGGAGATCCCCTGGTACGACCCCAACGCAATCACCGACGGATTTTATTTGACGTTAGTGGACGTTATCGCTACTTCCCCCAAGTCTGTCGGAAGTGTTGCACGGCGGTCGACCGAACAGACGACCCACGCAATGCGATTTAATTTAGATACGGATGGGCGGCCTTACAAAAATCGAACTTCAGGCGACTGCCTCTTGGTGATGCTCCTGGACCCTCGTCCTCCTCGTTGAGCACGTACTCTCTCTCTCTCTCTCGCTCTCGCGCTCTCCCTGGCCCTCTCTATTGCTCTCCCTGGCTCTCTCTTTCGCTCTCTCTCTCTCTCTCGCTTTCTCGCTCTCACTCCTTCCGACTACTGCTTGCTCGCCACCAAACTTCGTTAAGCGCAAGACTAAACCGGTAGAGGAACTCGCAAATTTTTAACCAGGTCAGCCCTTCTTCATCGTTCCGCAATTCGTTTCTTTCGACAGTCGGAATTTTGCCGACGACGGCCGATCCACTTCCTTGTTCCGCCGCCTCACCTCCTGCCTCGGTAGCTAGGCTCGATGCCGGGACTCTGGCCTGTTGTTCGAACAGTTCTTGTGCACGTCCTCGACTCACCGGCTGTACCGCTGTAAAAATGACGCAACACAACAACGTAAGCGGTGTCGATAACGAAGCTCCGATACCCAAGAAAAACAAGACGAGTCAGCTAAGGTCCATCCACGTTGCTTAGCTGCCTCCGCTTCTCTACCTGGCGAGTGGTGCTTGATCTGCTCTTTTTCCTCTTCTCGCCGCCATCCGGAATGTGGACTATACACGTTTCGGGGACGCGGGGCTCGCCTCGAAAATTTACACGCGCCGGAGGCACGCGGTCTCCGCTATACAATATGTAGAAGAGAAAAGACCCGCTGTATCAATTATATGTTCGCGAGGGCGCACCCTTCCACCTGCGATAGGACCTCCGCGGAGGCATTCGTCTCTTGTGATGGGCGCTTCTAGCCGCCACGTTATATTATAACGACGTCTAGCGGCTCCGCTATAACGAATACGGGTCTTTTTCTCCGTCCCCGCACTATGTTTTTCTGGGCTTTTGCCGCATAAAGCAGTTAGATCCTCGAGAGCTGAGTTGAAACTGTTTTTGTTAATTGTGTCATAATTAATTTTTAATCCTACGAGTAATGCGGACTAGCGGTCTCACACAGGCTCTCGGCCGCGACCCGTGGCTTGGCGCGTATTATACTACCCGGAGGGTGCCCAGTATCTGGGAGGCACCGTTCAAAATATAGCTCTCCCTGTGCCACGCAGTTTTTGGCGAGGTCGTTAACACCTTGACTTAAAGGGTCCTTCTTCGTTGGTTGCACGTGTGACTATTCTAGACAGGTAGACCCGCATGCAACCGTAAGCCCTTCCACCACGTCAAGGTGGAGACTCATTTGGGGAGTGGCCTAACTCATGGTTATAACTTCAACTAAATAGATTCTGTCAAACAAATACCGGGCATTGTTCAATGAAACATAAAATATCGATTTAAATCCAAATTTATTTTGTCGCCTTCAAAATAGGGTACTTTTGATGCAATACGCATATGTCAATAAATAAATATTTAGTCGACGAAATACTACATGGGCTGAAAAGTCCCGGGATTTTTTATGAAAACAAGCGCTTTTTGGGCAAAGTTATATTTATTCCTCAAAATAGTTGCCTTCGAGTGCAATATTCTTGGTATAGCGATTTTCCAACATTTCGATGCACTTTCTGTAGTACAAAATGTCCAAGCCTTTGAAATACGCCTTGGTTTCCTCGATGACTTCCTCATTCGATGTGAATCTCTTTCCCTGGAACCACCGCTTGAGGATTAGGAACAGATAATAGTCGCTGGGGGCCAAATCTGGAGAATACGGAGGGTGAGCAACCAATTCGAATCGTAATTGGTCCAATTTGGCCATCGCTTTCAAGGACGTGTGTGATGGTGCGTTATTGTGATGGTACAGAACAGTTTTCTTCGCTATGTGGGACCGTTTTTTCTATATTCCGTGGTTCAGTTTGTCCAATAACGCTGCATAATACTCTCCCGTAACTGTTCTTCCCTTCTGCAGGTAATCGATGAAGATTATGACATGCGCATCCCAAAAAACGGAGACCAAAACCTTCTCGGCCGAACGTTGGTCTTTTGGCCGCTTTGGTCGCCTTTCGTGGCTTTTCAGCCATTCTGCAGACTGCCTATTGGACTCAGGCGTATCGTAATGAATCCACGTTTCATCCATCGTCACAAAACGTCGAAAAAAGTCCGCTCGATTACTCTGCAACAACGCCAAACCGGCAGTTGAATCATCAACTCGCTGCTGTTTTTGGACGACGGTCAGCAAACGCGGCACCCATCGCGCAGATAACGTTTTCATATCCAAAACATCGTGCAAAATGTATCCCACCCGTTCTTTTGAGATATCAAAGGCCTCAGCTAACTCGCGCAACTTCACTTTACGATCACTCAAAATAATTCGTTGCACTTGATTTACGATTTCCGCATTCGTAGCCTCTTTTGGTCTTTCAGAGCGAGGTGCGTCTTCGGTGCTTGTACGACCCATTTTAAATTTACTAAACCATCGATAAACTGTTGTTCTCGAAGGAGCAGATGTGGGATA